ATTATACGCTATATATATGTATATACGATGGAGGTATATATACATATAATTATATTATATATATATATATATATATATATATATATATATTACAAAAAAAAACGTTTTCCCTTAATAATCCGGTCTCTGACGTCACTGCGCTTCTTGTACGTCACCATCTGCGTTTGCACCTATCATATGCACGTGAGTCATTATTATACATTGTGTTTTTGCGTCTTTGTAGCATACATACAGGAGGGGAAAAGAAGAGAATGAGAGAGAGAGAGAGAGAGAGAGAGAGAGAGAGAGAGAGACAAACAAACACACACAGACTAACAAAATATAAAAACAGAGAAATGACGAGAAAAAAAAAAAACACACATACAAAGAAAAAAGAAAAAAAGAAAGATGAATCAATTAAAGACGAAGAGACAAAAGGAGTATGCAGAGGAGGAAAGAGGAGAAAACAGCGAATCTATAAATAACTACAATCCGTTTCAGGCGACAACGAACCACGTGGATCCTCTTCTTTGTATTAATATATCCTTACTGATGTCCTGAACTCACGTGACTTTATTGTCACTCTTTGACTACCAAGGAATATATAAAGTTTATATGTTGGTAATGTTAGGCTCATTATGTATTTTTTTCTTCAAATTAGTGATATTTATTGATCATTCCGGTGTTTTCCGGTAAGTCTGATAGGTAAGTTTAAGGTGTTGACATTGCGAAAAAAAAAAAAAAAAAAAAAAAATTATAATGGATAATGGCAGTTATAGTAATGATAACAGTGATGATAACAATGATTACGACGAAAATAGGAACACCAGTAACAGCAACAACAGCGATAGTATTGATAATGATAATAATAATGATAATAATAATAATAATGATAATAATAACAATAATGATAACAATAATAATAATGATAATAATAATGGTGATGAAATAATGATGATGATAATAATAATATCGATAATAAGGATATAATAGAAATGTTCATAATATTCATGAGGATAATAATGATAATGTTAAAACAATGGCAAAATATTAACTATAACAGCAACAACAATAGGAATGACAAAGATAACAATGAGTAAATCAACCAAAATGAATTACTAAAGAAAATATATATTGAATAACTGCGAAAAAGGGAACATATGGTTGATGCAAAAATACACAGCATACGAACACTCGTAAAAAAAATCATAAAAAAAAAAAAAAGATAATTAAACGCCGCAGAGATACAAATAACGGTCAAGTAACAGTTATGCGGTTAAGAGTAGGAAGCAAGTGAGCAGCGCCAGAGTACTAATATGTTGGTTTTAAATTTACTGATACACAGTGCAAAACAAAGATAATTTGATAAATAATTGTAGATTTCCGATTTTTTTTTCTGGATTGTCATGAAGTTTGAACACCGAAAACCCGCGTCCTTATCTTATTAGTATTATCATCATTATTTACGTATCCTTTATTTTGACTTTACCGGCTGACACTGGTGAATTTCAATCAATTTTTCACGCCTGATAAACAACATACTTTCGTCTGACGTGAGTAGGTCACTCTCCCCAAAGGTCATTTAAGGTTAAGGTTTGCGGATCTTGGCTTAAGTGTAGGCAAACTCGTTCGTCCTCTACGGATAAGATAACACATAACAACCCGGCTATGAATATGATCACAAGTACCTACGTGTATCTACTATAACTCATGGACTCAACGACAATTAATGGTCGAGAAGGATGTCATCATGAATGTGTCTTTGAGTGACATCCGGGTATCTGTTCTCTTATTTATAGCTCTTATGTTCTCTTATCTTATTATTCATTCTCTTATTTATTTATTTATTTATTTAATTTTAGTATTTAATACAAATAATCAAATGAAGAGCATATGAGCTATTTGATTTCCCTTTTCTTCAAAAAGTGAAAAGCAAAACAAGTTATATCAGTAATAGTTGACTTTGTAGGGGGTTACTCTTCACAAAGGCTCTCTTTCTTAAAAAGGGGTTTTGAGATCACCGAACTGTGAAGTATTTGTATGAATTTCATTTTCCTTATTCTATGATATAAATCATTATATAAATCTAGCTACTATCCTTGTTGTTTTCCTTAATATGTACGATGCAGTATATATCATCTCAGTATAGTTTTATCTTCCCTTTCTTTTTTTATTAACCAAAATTCACTGAAAATAACCTTTTTTATATTCTTCCTTATTCCTTTAATATAAACATCAGCGCATTCTTATGTCAAGAGTGTCACGAGACATATCAAGAAGGGAGCATCACCACGATGAAGAGGCTACAGCTGCAGCGACGTATGAAAAAAAAAAACGAAGAGAGAGAGAGAGAGAGAGAGAAGAGAGAGAAGAGAGAGAGAGAGAGAGAGAGAGAGAAGAGAGAGAGAGAGAGAGAGAGAGAGAGAGAGAGAGAACGTTTTCAGAAGGACTTCTTTGAACTGACAGAGCGGCACGGTCATGGCCACGGCGACTGTATTCAAGGAAGTTCATTGCCACAGGAGGAAAATTGCAGCAGAGAACCAGTTGTAAATAGATTTTTCA